CCCCGGGGGGGGGGGGGCCGGCCGCTCTGCCCCCCCCCCCCGGTGTTGCTCTGCAGTGGCCAGAAGTACTTGACAGCAGTGGTGAAGGTGTTTGGGCCCCTCACGAGGAATTACTACATCCGAGCTATCCTGCACGCTGCGTAAGTGGGGTGTGCGGGGTTGGGGTTGGGGTGCAGCCCTCCCCAGCCCCCCCTAAACCCCCAGTCTCTCACACAGCCTGGCTGTCCCCGCTGGTTTCCTCCTCTCCACCATCCTGGGCACTGTCTGCTTGGGCACCGCGAGCGGCATCTACCTGCTGGTGAGTGCAGAGTAGCTTCGGGGGGGATTTTGGGGGGGCTGGGGGCCCTGCCGGAGGAAAGGGTCCCCCCCTGACGGCCCCCATGGCTTCACAGGCGGCGGTGCGTGGGGAAGAGTGGAGACCCATCGAGCAGAAGCCCCGGGAGCGGCCACATGTGGGGGACACCATCAAGCAGCCGCCCAGCAACCCCCCACCCCGGCCCCCCGCCGACACCCGCAAGAAGCAGCCAGCGGAGGTGGGGGGGCAGGTGAACCCCATCCCCGTCGAGGCTGAGTAACTCGGGGTGGGGGGGAGCTCTCCTGCCGCTGCTGCGCTGCTCGTGTTCCCGCTTCCCAACTGCACCCCGGCTCCTCGGTGGGAAACTGGGGTGGCTGGCTCCTGGGGATCCCCAAATCCCCAGGGATGCTCAGCTCCTGGAGTGGTCCCCAGCTCCCAGGGGCTCCCTAGCTCCTGTTGGATCCCCAAGGATGCTCAGCTCTCTGGGGGGGTCCCCAGCTCCTGGGGATCCCCAAATCCCTAAGGATGCTCAGCTCCCTGAAGGGGCCCCAGCTTTCCAAGCAGCCCCCAGTTCCCTGGGGGATCCCCAAATCCCTGGGGAACTTCAGTTCTCTGGGGCATTCCCAGCTTCCCGAGGGGTCCCCAGGCCCTGCAGCCCCACGGGGATGGGGGGGGGATCAGGCAGCTCTGCTCCCTGCACCCTCTCTTGCTGTTTTTTGTCACTTCTGCGGTTGCTGTTGCAATAAAAGGTGGGAAAAGCGCCAGCTCCCCCTGCCTCCTGCTCCCCTGGGGGGGGTTGCTGCAGCTGCTGGGGCTGGATTTGGGGGGGGTTTTAAGGACAAACAGCCCAATTATGGGCAAATGCAGCTGAAGCCGGGGTGGGGGTGTGCAGAATGCAGCCACTGCAGGGCTTTGTCCCTCCTGCTGTGGGGAGGGGGGAACGGGGAGATGTCCTCAGGGGACCTGTGGTGCAGAGGGGGGGCCATGCTGCTGTGCCGTGCTCAAATCTTCTGTGGAGCTAAAAGGTGGGGTGAAGATGGGGGGACAGACGCGGTGGCACGTGGACCTGCACCACAGCTGCACAGCGTGTCCCAGAGGAGCCCCCAAAGCCTGAGGTGACCCCCTGGCAGGGAAAATAGCGTGTGTGTGGGGGGGCATTTCCCTCCCCACTCCCACTCGTGGGTGCCCAGGTGTGATGTGGGACCATGTGCCGCTTGGTGGTATTGATCTTGTTGGGCATCAGCAGAGGCTCCGGGCTCCCCTCTACCTGCCCCCCCAAGTAACCCCTGGTCTGGTGGGGGGGGTGCAGACACCCCAGGGCACCCGTGGGTGCTGGCAGGGCACGTGGGGTGGCCCCAGCAGATGGCGCTGGGCCCGTGGGACGTGGGTGCCTGGGGGCAGAACCGTGGGAAAGGTGTGGGTGGTGGGATGCTGCGAGTGCCGGGGCTGATCCCCTCCATCCTGGGGCTGGGGGGGTGGTGGGGTAGGGCACCCCCCTGCCCCATCACCTTCCCTATCGCCTCCCAGTTCATCCTGCCCTGCCGCACTGGGTGCACCGGTGCTTTGCCCACCATGCTGGGGCTGCGAGATGCCCCACAGTCGAGCATTGCCCCACGGGGTACCCAGGGATGTACCCCCATCCCCATCTGCACCCATTTGCCCCCCCCTCCCATGCTGATCTCCCCACGACGCTGGCTGGGAACAGAGCAAGGACCATGCCCGGGGAGTCGGCCTTTATTTGCAGGCTGCACGCTGCCGGTATTAAATAGCACATATAGAGGAGACAATAAATAGCTTTGCGGGGGGGAATAAATAACCAGCCAGCCCCTGGGAAGCACTCGTGGGGTCATGCTGGACCCGGAGTCGCAGCCTTGGTGTGGGGGGGGTCAGCAATAAATACAGGTTAAAAAAAAGAAGTCCCCCAGCAGCAAGGCTTATAAATAACATAAATAACGAGGTGATGGTTTGGGAGGGGGGAGACACCCGGCTCTGTGTTGGGGGGGGGGCCGGGTGGGTGCTCTAAAACAAGCACGGGTGGAGGTGGATGCAGTGACACGGTCACGCTATGGGGCTCCATGGGAGCCGGGGTGGGGGGGGGGCTCAGCGCCCGGTGCGGGGCAGGACGCAGGTACAGCCCACCGGCACCCTAATATAGTCCACCTCGAAGGTGACGAGGCCGGGGCCGGTGGGACGCGGGCAGGGCTTGCGCCGCAGGACCATCATGGTCTGGTAGATGGCCACCGAGTTGAGCGATGTCGTCTCCCGACCCGTCTTGACGTCCACGCAGCCGCTGCAGAGGCACTCGGCGAAGGCCAGCTTGCGCGGGTAGCGGTTCTCATCTTCGTCGATGCTGCGGGCGAGGTGTGGGGGGGGAAACACGGTCAGCAAACCCCTTCCCCTGTGCCCCCCCAAGCCACCCCCATGCTAGCAGCAACAGGGATGCCCCCAGGAAGCGGCAAGTGAAGGATGTTCGGGGAAACTGAGGCACGCCGCAGCAGCCAGCATAGGGTATGTGTGGGGGTGTCCCAGGTGGGGGCCACTCACCGGTAGCGCCACGGGGAGATGGAGCGCTCGTTGGGTTCGCTGCGAAGGCCGGCGCGGAGCTGCAGCGTGGGGCAGGCACGCTCGCGATGGCGACGGTGTCGGCGATGGCCGGCGTTGGCCTCCTGCAAGCGTTCCAGCTGCGGCACCAGCTGCACCGGCACGTAGTGGTCCCAGCGCAGGCTGCGACCCAAGAGATGCGCGGGGGCTTCGCCGTCCCGCAGCTCACCCACGCTGTAGCAGTGAACGTGGGGATGGTGCGGGGGGCTACCGGGGCGGCGCAGACCACGGCACAGCATCAGCGTGCCCAGCAGCACCAGGGCACCCAGCCAGCCCTGTGTGAGAACCCGGGTCAGAGGGGGGGGACCCAAATCCTGCACCCTACCCTGGCACCCACCCCCTGCCCTCCTGGGGATGCAGCCCGCAGCAGGGACCCACAGCCCACCAAGGGTCCCCCCCCAACCTCAGGGGGCTTTGACATGCAGAGCAGCAGCGCATGTGTGCTTGCACACCCCTCCCCAAAAGCGTGAGCTGGTACCCACACATGCACATGTATGCACACACATGTTTACATGTGCACACAGCGTACCAGCACAGATATATACACACCCCCACCTCCTAACGCAGTAGCACACCTATGTGCGTGCATACATGGTACCAGCACATGTATATATACACAGAGGCTACCTGTACATATACACACACGTACAGACAGCTATACACACACTCAGAGAATACCTGTATATACACACGGACAGCCAGCACACATGTAGCTCTGCACAAACATACACGCAGTATCAGTGCAGGCACCCGGAGCGCCAGCACATGTCAAGATACCACTACATGTGTGTAACACACACACACACATCAGTACCAGTGTATGTACAAGCACATATATACACACATATGTCCCATACTGCCCTTCCATGCACATACACAGAGCAGTATCAGCCTGTGCGCATCTAGACACCCACACAGAGGTAACAGCACATATGCATACACGCACATGGACATTTGTGCACACACACACACACATATATTACCAGCACCCATGCCTACACCTGATCCACCCTTCCACACGCACACCCCAGCCAGAAACTCACACATATATCACCAGCATATGTGCAGAGAGCCATGCACACACACTACTGCCCAGCCCTTATACATATAGAAGACTATACTCCCCCCCACATACCAGCACGCATGTAGCTACATGTGCAAAACCACCAGCACGCACACATCCACGGCCAGCCTGACACACGCATCGCCAGCACGTGTGCATCTACACACACCCAGCAGCAGCACCCACCAGCCTTCACGTTCCCACCCCCTCTAGCTGGAGAACCCCCTTGTGCACACACACGCACGTGTGCACACACACGCATGTGTCCACACGCACCCCCCCCCCCGCCATCCACATACGCTCTCACCCCCATCCCAGCCGCCA